TAGAACTATCTAAGGGTTAAGTGAAATAGAAATCATGCCATACAGAAGAGTATTTGATTTAAATTCATTCAAAGATAGATGATAGACCTGAAGGGCATAGCCGACCATCTTCGAGAAGGCAGTTATTGTTACATCCTTTCCCTCACGCTCTATCTGAAGAAAATATATGAGCGTTAATTTATCTAATTTTAGATAGAGCAGAGGGAAAGCACAATATACTTTGGCGGTACCTTAGCTTTCCCAATAGGTAGACAGAAACTAGAATCAAGAACTTCTGCCGAGACCGGAAAAGACTCACCATATCTGTAAAACCATAACAGAAATAAACATTGATAGAAAGGTGTATGCCAATATTATGTCACATAAATGAATTTGGATTGACAATGAAAGTTCACTGTACACCGCTTACAGCAATTCATTTTCAAGGAAGACAACAGGGTCTGGATCCCTAATAGCAGCTTTAAGAAGCCCACGAGCATCTTCTGAAGAATAAGGGGCCAGTACTTTTAATCCTGGAATGGCGCCGTACCATGCTGCATAGCACTGGAAAGAATAAAAGCTCAGTTACAATGAGAACGTCTGCCAGTAAATCCCACAAGGGTTTATTTCCTTTCATCCAGAAATCCCTCATGGTGACAACCAAAACATTAATTGTTCAAGGTCATGTGAACATTTAATTTTCTAATGCATCATAATTCTCTAACTCAAGAGACCTTTGTTTAGGCGGGGTAGAGGTATTTCCTACACATTGATGCTCGGGAAAAATATTATGGTTGAACTTGTTAGAATGATGTTCCAATGTTACTAAAACAACCATTTGGTAGCTTGCATCTTTCTTGATAGTGTAGCTTAGAAGGTCATGAATTGCACGTGCTTTCTTAGACGATCTTCACTGAGGGAAATAATTAAAAAATATTTATCGACTGACACCACTCGAAGGCATGATAACATAACACATCCACCATCCACAGCAGATTTTGTTGATTCGCTATCCTATCACTGAAACTAGTCATCTGCTAGTTGGTAAATACAAAACAGCTGCCATTGAGATCGAAAACTACTCGCCCGACAGCAATCTGTGGCAATGTAGAATAAATACTCGATCTAAAATTAGCTTTGTGTTCAGGCAATGAAGTAATAAAGGGTGCACGGACAGATGATCCATGAGCTGATACCAACGAATAACAAGTCCAGCAAATGAATTCATGGAGACTCTTGATCATTTTGATTCCCATATCAATGAAAGAGTTACTATTTACTAAAAGTAAGTCACTCAGTAGGTCTACAGTATATTGTGGTCAAATCCATACCTGAGAATGTTGAGCACCCACACCAGCAGCAGCACCATTTGGCCCTCTGAAAACAATAGGTACCGATATCTGACCAGCAGACATGTAATTTGATTTTGCAGCAGAATTTATGATGTGATCAATTGCCTGCAATAAAATTTTAAGGTAACTCTGTATCTGCATATAAAATCAATTACTTGTACTAAAACATACTGAAAAAAACTCTTCATGATCACCATATGTTACTAGAGTTCAAAATGCAACCGAAAAATTCTCCCCAATACCCTCTCTCGATGAATTGCTCTCTTGATGAATTGGTTTTAAACGCTTCTGTATCAAAACTATGAAGTCTAAAAAAGTGAAGCTGGTATGAAATTTGCTTGACAATTGCATGCAAATTGGCCAAAATTGCTTCTCCAAGCTTCCCACTTCCCAGAAAGATAGGATTCCAGGTGTCCCACAATGATAGGCTTGCGGCAATTACATACTCAAGTTTTCAATCCATGTATTCCATATCTTTTATCTTGGATCAGAATAGTGTTTTTATCTAGATTAGCTTTTACAAAACCTAAGTAGACAATGAACAAACAACTACTTAATGATTGAAGAACAAATGAAACATGCACATGCAGTATCTTAACTATATTGACCAGCATTTTTAGTCTGAAACAACTATAGAACTCTTTGTGAGATGAGGGGGGCATCAAATTCTTCTGGCAAGCCCAATAATTTAACCAATACTTTCGACAATAAATCCAATTAAATATTTGTAAGTAAATAATCACGATCATCAAAATAACATGAACAAAACAAAACCAAATAAAGTTGAATGTTTCCCATCGCTTAACTGTGATTCTCTTAAGACTAGATAGAAGATACTCGGTAAACATTTTAATGCAAACTCAAGATCAGAGCTAAATTTCATGAGAAATAGATTTAATGGAACTCCGAAAATTGAATTCATCGATGAAAAGGAAATGTGTCTAAAGGTCCAACCAAAAGCCAAACATTGAAGCTGAGGGAAAGAAATCAAACCTGCATGGAGAAGTTAAAAGTCATAAACTCTACCACAGGTTTCAATCCATAATAAGCAGCACCAACTCCAATTCCAGCAAATCCAGCCTAGAGGAGAAATAAATGGTTCAGCACCAAGTTTTACCACATAACTCAGAAATAAATCACAAGTAAAAGACCAAAGCCAACCTCAGTGATAGGTGTATCGCGGACCCTCTCAGGACCATATTTGTTCAGCAGCCCTTTGGAGATCTAATGAAAATATTTTAAATTAAATCTAGTTTGCCATACAAATATTTCATTATAGTATGGAGGTTGCAGTAGAACTAAAACTCACCTTGTAAGCACCCTGATACTCACCGACCTGTATATGAGCACTAAATAAGTCAACATATATCACGCCATTCAAAAAGAAAATGCATAAGAGATAGCCTTATTCCATCAATAGAAAATTTTGATATTTCCACAGTACCTCTTCCCCCATTAGAAAGACTTTGGGATCAGCGGACATTTCTTCATCAAGTGCTGAATTTAAAGCATCACGCACTGTCATCTGCAACAAATGACAATGGAAAACATAACTTCACCACAACAGAGTACATGTAACATGTAATAGATAAATCACAAATTATTTGCAAAGGCCTAAAGTGAAAAAATGAGGTGCCTCTATTGACTCTTGTACTTTATCAGTCTATCACTCAAGCCTAAACTTTGAAGCCAGCTTTTACATATAACTTCTGCTCCCCAATCAACTCCCGGATCCCAAATCGCACATAGAAAGTTCTCTTAAGAAACAGAAGAATAGCTCTTGCTTGTTGGGTAGTGAGTAAGAGAGTATCAAGCAACAAGGGGTAGGAGTGACTTTATGTCCTTGAAGCCTACCCCTGCCCGTGAGCTTGTGGCGACAAATCAGCGTATAAGATCATGGGAGAATTCAAACACCATAAAAACGCGCTTCAAATCCAAAGGCCCAAGAAGCACAATATTTTCAGGTAATTTAGCCATATCTATTTTGTTTCCCACCATGCAAACATATATCGACATCAAATACAAATCTAAAGGTCCAAGAGGCAAGAAGCACAGAGTTTTCATGTAATTTAGCCACATCTATTGTTTCCCACTACATAAACACAAATCTACATGAAACAAAATTTCCAACTACGATATACAGTCATTACCTCCTTGGCAGAGGAAGAAAAGGCCCTTAACGCAATCGACCGAATTCCTTGTTCCAAACTCTATGAAGCCAACAAGACAATAGAAAACGAAAAAAGAACAAAGAATTTAACAACCCGGTTAAAACCACAACTCAATGGCGATAATTGAATCAGAAAAAGGACATAAAACTTAGAAACCGCCATATTACCGAAGCAAGACTGCCTTTGCAGGCTGCTCTTTGCCTTATAAGCCCCAACATACTTTTTCCCCTCTGTTTTCGGATAACCCCTGATTATCGTCAACAAAGCACAAACAGATCATGAACATACACACATGGGCACATCAATATCAGATCAAATCAAACACGCACAAAATCTATCTCGAAAAATACAACAACTAATATCTACCAAAGCACACAGAAACAAACTTGGACGCAGATTTTGATGCGCAGACAATAAACCCCCCAAACTGATCAAAGAACAAATTATTAAAGGTATAAAATTTTGTGAAATGAACCTGGCTGGTGTTTTCTGTCGGCGTCGAAGCTGTTGAAGAGAGTGTCCAATTTACGAACGGAATTGGAGAGAACGACTATGAATTTCGCTTTGGCGGCCGAGTCAGTCGAGAAGCTTTGGGCTGTTGTACAGCAGATTTGGTCTACCTACTATTCTACTAATCATGTGTAAGGAATTTTATATTTATGAAAGAGTTTAATAAAGATTATTATTCAAAATTAATAAGTGAAGTTGAAGAAATATAACTGAAATATTATTTTTATTAACAATCTAAATATGTAATGGAAGTAATAAATAAATCAACATATTTAATTAAAATAGAAAATTAAAAAGTGAAGTGATGAAAAGAAAATTGAAAATTGAATATATATTTCATTTCCTACTTTTATTACATATTTAGATTAGATTATTAATCGAAATAATATTTAAATAATATATTTCAAAATTCTCTCACTAACTTTTGTAAAATAAAATTTTTTAAACTTTTACATAAATATAACTTATATTGATTAATTTCTTTTTTTTATAATAATTGTTCAATATAGTTAATATATTTGGCATAAAAATGTAAAATACTGATTTGTAAAAAATAATACTATGATTTGCATATTTATGTCAAAAAGTTACATTGAGAAGTTGAATAATAAAGTGGGCTTTAAATTGAGAATAACCTAAAATGTAAAACGAAATGCATACCTAGAATTGATACAACTGCAAAAAATTAGGTCTTGTAATAGAATTTCACCTAACAATTAATACTTAATTATAAAAAATAAAAAGATTTTTTTAATCTCAAATACTTTTAAAATTGTATTATTGTTTACATTCAAAATGATAATCTACTCTTCCACAATTTACCTTATTATATTATAGTAACTCTTTTAATTCATATAGGCGAAATTGCATATAAAAGCACCACATGAGGTTTTGCATTTTAATCTCAACCTTTATATATTAGCAAACACGTACACAATCTTTTGTAGTTTTGCAAATCGAAACACGACTTCCACCTCCAACACCGAAATGCTGACATGCCCCATCGAAATACACATGTGGACCTTGCCTATAAAAGTAAAAAATACAAATAAATAAAATAAATTTCACTGCCCGTACATCCCGCCTAAAATGTGGCTTTTGAAGAACAACAACAATCCCGAATAGATCGGGGAAGAGAGCCATTGCGCTAGTGACTGATTGCTCAAATTGAGAGAAATCAAGTCCGATGTCTCAACTGTCTTCTCCACATAGCGTGATATCACCTCAGATAGCCGGAAGATCGTTCTCGTCCTTGTGAGGAATGTCGTCATAGCCAAAAATTTCAAGCCCTCAGCCATTTGTGTACCGTTAGCACCATGCCGCAGTTGAGAAATGAAATAGACCAAATTAGAGGCAATTTATCTGCTTCTTGTTGCTTTTCGTTCAGCCAACAATTAAATCGTCACGTCGAGAATTGTAGGTTGTTATTGTGTGGGTTGGTAGAGAAATGGAACAATGGTAGATAGGGTTTGGAACAGGAGAGTGAGGGAGGACCTCTTTCGTACTCATTTTTCGCTTTTCACAATAATTGAATCATGGGATGGTGGCGTGTAGAATCAAACATAAATTTCTATTACCAATTGATGACAATATTAACCCCAAAAAGCAACTTAAAGTGAGCGCATTTTTATCCATTCGACATGTAAATCACATAAGAAAAGCGACATCATCTATAATAATTGAAAGATGTTGTTGGATTTCTTCTATTAGAAAGTTTTTTGGGTCATTATTGATTGACTTGCTAATAAAGGAAATTCTAAAATTAATTCAAATATAAACATGTTTGATTTTTGGTCTCTATTGATATTTTGTTGTTACAGATTCTGTTTCCATATTTCAAGGGTCTAGTTTTTATTTACAATTTTTAATGAAGTAGAAATTCAAAATTTAATCCAAACTTTATTGGTATTTAATTGTTTTAGATTTTGTTTCCATATTTCAAGGCCATATTTTTTTTTTACAATTTTTAGTTATGTAAACATTCTGAAATTAACTTTCATGTAATCGTGTTGGGTTCTGGACTCTATTGATATTTAGTTTTAACAGATTCAAATTCATATTTTACGTGTCCTTTTTTTTACAATTTTGAACGAAAATCTAAAAGATAACAGCTTTTATTTCCTATTTTACTTGTCAATGATAAAATATGTGCCCATTTAAAAATATAAAATTTCAAAACATTTCCATAACTAGATTATCTATTTGAAACTTTTTAAAATAGAATAATTATTTGTTTTCTTATTCTACTGATGAAACAAAAATTTGTGCCAACTTTTAAAAACGAAAATTAGAAATGGCAACTAATAGTTAGGTTTTTATTGAAGTATTAATATGAAATAATTTTATTTTTTTCTACATATGAAAAGAAAACTTGCCCCAATCTAAAAAAAAACAAAAACAAAAACAATTAGATGAATCTTTGAATCAATTTGAAACATTCATCTAAATAATTTGGAAAATAACATCATACTTTGTACAGGTCTCTTCCATACATATGGATATATATATATATATATATATATATATATATATCATTAGAAAGACATCACAAAGGATTATAATGCAACATGATTCCTAAAACTAGATAAATAAAAAAAAAAAAATCAACAAGCACATACTTTAAACGATTTAGAAATAAAAAAATCATACAATTAGGTACAATTTGTGCCCAATTATTTAAATAAAATACAGATTGTATGGTAATTATACACCTTTATACTGTTAACAAAAACTATAAGGCCTTGATTGTTTACGGATTAATTTGTTGAAAGTGAAATAACTGAGGAAATTGAGTTAATTGGGCTTGTGTACCAAAATATTTCAGCCTATTCAATTTCAGTGGCAGGCCCACAAATACAGCTGTTGCCCCCCACATTAACTTGATCTGTATTATTAAATTAAATATCACCAACCATTCTGACAAAAAGCTCTAGCACGTCATTTCAATATTGAAACTCAAGAAGCCATCTCCTTCAATAAAATGTCCTCTTTTGTGAACGAAAAAACCATGAACTCTTCCCCAGATCTGTCTCTCCGCAACTCCATCCCACCTGTTCTGTCGTTGGAGGACCCGCTGGAGAGGACCGATCCGCACACCGAAAGCACCGGCAGTGTGTCGGTGAATTCTCCGGTAAAAAAAACGAAACGAAGAAGAAAAGTTTGTTGGTTTCAATTTGTGAAATTTCTGTACATTTTTTGTTCTTATAACTGAATTTAAGTGCCTTCAACTACCCGAAAATGTAGAAAAGGGATTCTGATTTGGTGTGCTTATATAAATTAAAATTCATAATTTTTTAGGGATTGCATATTTTTTGCGAATTGTGTATCTTGTCTGGTTTACTTAAATGAAAGTACATAATTATATTTTACTAATTAGGGATTTCACCTGTTATTATTGTTGCTAAAAAAATTGGATGTTGGGACCTTTTGTTTCATTTATGCTTTTCCACTGTCGGGCCTGCTGAGATGATGATTCTTTCGTAATGATTGAATTACGTGCTTAAAGGCCCGCTGGTGGTGTCTCGTGCAAGTCGATTTGTATGGGGTTGATGCGTTTATTTGTTTCCTTTTTTTTCTCCTATTATGTTTGCTTCTTGTTTGTTTCCTATTATGTTTGCTGTGAGTAGATGTTTCCTGATATAGGATATTATATACTCCAAGATAAACCGGTCCACCGAACTGGTTTAGAGAGTCATACCATGAAGGAATCGAGCCAGGTGAGAAGAAGATCGAGCAAAATAACTTATCGACCAGTCAAACAGTCGACCAATCCATCGCTCGACCAAACAAACGATCGAGCAATCTTATCGACCTCAGCAGGTCGAGCATCTCGCGGACTCAACACTCAACAGATCGGCCTAGTCACAGGCGCGTGTAAGAGCTTCTAACTGAATTCCAGGAGAATATTTACCCCATGTGCAGGAGGACACGTGTCGAGAATGTATTGGGTGATAGCGATAACCACCTCTGACAGCTCCCAACGCCCTGCGCCACCTCTGACATGCGCGCGGCGTGTCAGAGTACGGACGGGCAGCCAGCTCATCCTTATCCGGGCAGCTATTAGGGCAGGTATCTCACCCCTATAAAAAGGGGATGAGCCTTTCTCCCTTAACACATTCTATTAATTCTTCACTTCAGTATACTCATACACATACTGACTTAAGCATCGGAGGCTCTTCACCGGACACAACCCCCGGTGTGAGAGTTACTTGCAGGTTTCCGGCGTTCTACCGGCGAGGACAAAGATCGATCCGTTCCAAACCGGATAAGGACGCTTACACTTGCATTATTTCCTATTATCTCAGAGTTGTGTGTGGTGAAACATTATAGATGTCGACGTCGGCTGAAGACGGGTTAACGCAATCTAAAGAAGGAGAAGCAAAGTGGCCTCCGGAGAATGAGGCCCGGTTAATATCGTTGATGTTGGACGAAGTCATCTTGGGAAAGTGCATCAACCAGAAGTTCAAAAGAAGCAATTAGATGGATATTCAAAAAGCATTGAACAAAGCGTGTGGTCCACAATATTATTACGAGATAACACAAATCACGAGCAAGCATGATCGGTTGAAAGTGAAGTGGCATCGGTTCCACAATATGCTGCATAATACAACTGAGTTCATCTGGAATTCGGAGACTGGGAAGTTCACGGATGTTGATGAAGTTTGGAGCCGGTGGTTCGCGGTTAGTTCATTTGTTCCATCTGTTTCTATTTTTGTTTGTTGTGACTAGTTGTACTTTCACCTTCAGTTGAATTTTTTAAATTATTTGCATACATTGAAACTGTGGTTAACCTGATGCCTTGACAAAAATATTTTTGGTTTCTTTTGTTTGTTACATTTTATTAAAAAAAATATTTGCATAAATTGAAACTGTGGTTATCTTGGTGCCTTAACAGAAATATTTTCGGTTTCCTTTTTTATTTGTTACATTTGATTAACAAAATAAAAATATTTGCATAAATTGAAACTGTATCCTGGTGACAAAAATATTTTTGGTTTCCTTTCTTTGTTTACATTTCATTAGAAAAAAAAAAAAAAAACTTATGGGTCTACGGTTTTCCAAAAACAGGTGCGTCTAAAGGACAAGGAGATGAAGAGGATGGCTTGCGTGCACTATCGTGAGTTGACCACAATTTTTATCGAAAACACGGCAACTGGTAGCGGTGCAAGGGAATCTACACAGCCACCCGAAGGAACAAGCAGACGTCGTAGAACCAACACCGCAGTGACGGCCAACTTCTTGTTTCCCGATGAGTTAAGTGATGAGCCAATGAACACCCCGGATAGTGACAGGTGCACTCGTCGCCGTCAAGGGTCTACTTCCAAATTCGACAATGCCATGAATTCTATTACTGAATCAAGCCGCACAATCCAGCAAAACGTGCGTCTACCAGTTGATCAAACAAGCCTCCAACATGCTGTAAAGGTGTTGGAGTCCTTGCTTGGTGTTCTTGTGCCGGTTCGAAAGGTCGCTTGGAGGAAGTTTCATGACCCGTGTAGCCTTTACACATTTCTTGGAATGGAAATGGAAGAAAACCGGCGTGCCCTTCTAGATATGTGGATGGATGAAGAAGGCCATTAGGGCTGATGTTTATTGCCCTGCAAACTATTTCATAATTTCAGTGGAACTAATACCTGCTACTTTGAACCTTGATGAATTTGTGTGTTTTTTTTTCTTGTTTTTTTTTGTATGAATTTGTTCTGACATTGATTATTTTTCTACATCATATTATCCGACTTGTTATTTCAGTTTGGTCATTGATGTGTTTTTATCATTTACAAAAATATTTGATTTTGAAAAGTAGTTCCCACAAATTCTCCATTTGTAGGATGTCGCACATTGATGAAGATGAGGATTACGATGATGTTGAAAATGATGCCGGTGGACAATTAAACGACAACATGGATGAAGATTTCAACGCTGTTGTTCAGTCGTCTCATTTATCTCGTTTGCAACAATATGCTAATATGCTGGAGTTTCAACGCCAACAACTTATGCATGTTCATGAAGCATTTCAGTTTAATCCGCCTATGACACGAATCCGGTATAGGCATTCCACGTACAATGGGGAGGACTGGATTAGTGAACTCCTCATGGGGCACGATGGAAAATTCTACGATGCAATGGGTATGGACAAAAAAGTTTTCAAATTGCTTTGCAAAGAAATAAAACAGACGGGTTGTCATGGTGATGCAATACAACAAAAGGTCCGCATCCAAGAAAGTGTTGCGGTGTTCTTGCATACGATAAAAGGACACCAAAGACATCGACACGCTGCGGAGACATTTCGACGATCTACAGAGACGATTAGTAATCATGTACATATCATGATCACTGCCCTTCGCACACTGGCTCCCAAATACATACGTCCTCCGAATTTTACTCGTGTTCCTCAATGGATACAAAAGAATCGATATCTATATCCATACTTTAAGGTGAAACGCATAATCAGATTGTATTTCATGAATCACCTCAACAATTTATGACATGTTTTCTCTTACCTCAGGATTGCATCGGTGCCATCGACGGAACCATCATACCGGCTTGGATTCCTGAAGAAGATCATGGGAAATACAGATGTCGAAAAGGTCACTTGTCCCAAAACGCTATGGTTGCGTGCGATTGCAAATTCATTTACGTTTTAGCGGGATGAGAAGGCAGTGCAAATGATGCTCGTATTTTTGGTGAAACATTGACAGACCCCACAAATACTTTCTCGTGGCCACCAGAGGGTATGTCTTTATTTTTCTTCCCCCTTTCGTATATATGCGAAGAAAATTTTATTGATAGGGAAGTGAAAATAACATTACTAGATTGGTTCATTAACACAACTACTTTGAATATTAAGAAAATATTATGTGGTCGACTCAGCCTATGCCAATGTCCCGGGATTCCTGTCACCTTACCGTGATGATAGGTACCATCTTCCGGAGTGGATTCGCTCTAATCAAACACCTAAAAATGCGAGAGAGCTCTTTAACAGACGTCATGCCACCGTCCATAATGTGGTCGAACGTAGCTTTGGTATATTGAAAGGTAAGTTCCCCATTATAAAAGGCCTAATGCCAAACTACACGACTGAGTTCCAAACAAACATATTTATCGCATGTTGTGTTGTACACAATTTCATCCTTGAGCACCAAAAGTTCGAGAACGTATCGCCGGCCATTCTAAAACCGGATTACATAACAGAACCAGATGAAGATGATCATACAACGCCTTTGATGACAACTTTAGATACCTCTAATGTTGGTGTGCGTGAACAGGCTGGTTTGCGATTCGATTGCTTCCGCCTTATGGGCCGATCAAGGGGGAAGACGTCGGTAGTTGCTATTATGTTTTATTTATTACTAGTGTATCCCAAATTTTAAAGACAACTATTATGGCTTTTAATATTGTTGCGAGACTTTCGACACAAGTATGTCTTGTCTTGTTTCCTAATTAAATTTGGTTAGTAAAATAAAAATGAATACATTCATTAAAAAAACGCGTATTTTATATTGTTTTATGTTTTTATATTTTTCTTTATTAACTCACATAATGAATAATTACAATGTTCTTTGCATGCAAAATTTTTCTATTATATTAAACCGATTATGTTCTAATTTAGAAGTAAATTTCAACCACAACTATAATGCACTTTATTTTAAAATTTGTCACCACTCATTTTATTTATTAGTTCATTTTTTAACATTTTACGACACACCTGACAAAAAAGTAGAAGTTCACTTAAAATTAATACATATGAATTGGCTTATTTCGCGTTTCAAATGATATAATAACACAAATTATTTATCAGCACAAACCAAAGCAGATACATTACACAAATTATTTATTAGCATAAAAAATTCATTTACTAATACACATTATACAATAACAATAAAATTTTTTCGTGTAGAGAAAAAAAAATTATTTTATTATTTTTCTTTCAAATAGTTTGTTATACTTATGAATATTATCTATGTAAAATTTTTGAAAGAAATAAAGCCGTTTACGTGGGCCCCGCAAGGTCGCGTATGACTTCGGTTTACCGAGAATCGAGTTGGAACGTGTAGATCATTGAGGCACGATGTCATGCGGGACATTTATAGAGTATTTCGGAGTCCCGAGCATTTATTTACAGAAGTTTTAGTTCACGTAAGCCTATATTAGTAAAATGAGTTGTGTAAATTTTTATTCATATGGTATCATTTTAATATTAAAAAAATACAAAATGAAATTATAATACATCAATAAATATAAAGCACAAAATTATTTAACATAAAAAATAATATTATACAAATTATTTATTTGCATTAAAAATACATTTACTAATACAAATTATACAATAACAATAAAAATTTTTCGTGTACTGAAAAATTTAAAAAAAAAATAATTTATTTTTCTTTCAAATAGTTTGCTATATTTATGAATATTATCTATGTAAAATTTTGACATAAATAAAGCCTTTTACTTGGGTCCCGCAAGGTCTTGTGTGACTTTGGTTTACCGAGAATCGAGTTGGGACGTGTATATCATTTAGGCACGATGTCATGCGGGACATTTATAAAGTATTTCGGAGTTCCGAGCATTTATTTAGAGAAGTTTGTGTTCACGTAAGCCAATATTAATAAAATGAGTTGTGTAAATATTTATTCATATGCTATCATTTTAATATTAGAAAAAATACAATACAAAATTATAATACATCAACAAATAAAAAGTACAAAATTATTAGCATAAAAAAATACATTACACAAATTATTAGCATAAAAGATTCACATTTTCTAATACATAATAAACAAATATGTCATTTGAAATACATACAAGCTTTTTTAGGGTAAATTGCACAAAATCCCCCTGTAATATACTAAATCTGCGCGTTATCCTTCTCTAATTTAAAAAATGCGTTAAACCCCCTTTTATTGTACTTTGGCCAGCATACGTTCCCCAACTTATGTCAGGGTTTTAACACCGTTAAATTTTGGGTGAAAATCCTGTTATGCCCCTGTTACTTGAGAATTCACACCCATCGCTGACCGGAAAAGGGCCTCGTCGCTGACCGGATAGCAGGAGCTGAACCGATCAAGAACGAATTCGGATGTCGGGTCGTCGTTAAGCAGAGCAGCTATTCGAATCAAACCAGAAAAATATGTAAAAATAATGGTGTTCACGTCCGAGCTTAACAAGTCTATGGGGGAAGCGGCGTATAGCAGCCATGTCTGAGAATTATTCAGCTTGAAATTGAATCCGACATGGGTCCAAATTTATAAAACATGAGCTTGATCCAGATGATGTTTTTTGATTGTCCAAATTACTCCACCAGTTTATTGAAATATTTGCCTTATTTTCACCTTCCTTTTCTTCTCTACTTCCAATGCTTGTGCTTCCTGTTTTGCCCTCCATCTGCACTAGCCTCTTCAAATGTATTCAATTAATTAACCAAATAAATTTATACGAAAGAGGAATCCGGAATGGGTCTGCGGGAAGAGGAACGGTTTGGGCCGGGTATGCGGCGGCGACATGGCGGCGGGGATGGGTGGCAGCAGAATTTTAGGGTAAAAATTTGGGGAAGAAGACCACTCAACATTTAAATGGTTGATTTTAAGGGTAAAAAGGTAAATTCCTCGACTTTGGTGTAAAAAATGAAGAAAAAGTTGCATAGCACGCGCGTGCACACCACTTCCGTTATCTTAGACGGTTTAGGGTGTTTCGCGCATGCCAAAGTACAATAGAAGGGGGTTTGACGCATTTTTTAAATTAGAGGAGAATAACGCGCAGATTTAATATATTACAGGGGAATTTGGTGCAATTTACCCAGCTTTTTATGATGGGTCTTATCCACACTGCGTCATGTATGGCAATGCATGTGGTGTCATTTATAATTGTGATAACGTTCACAATATTTTTTATATTCGTTCTTTTGTCCCATGCTATGTATGTACATCATGCAAGACAACAAGAGAGCAGGCTTCTTTTCTTTATCAATGTGCAGAGGGAATGGGCAATAGCGTGTAGGTGTCTCCCTTCATTTTCACATATCATTCAATTGGTGGGACCTTTTAAATAAAAAAGTGTGCTGGGTCGGTCAAAAAGAATGTGTAAAAAAGGTAGAAAAAGTGGAGTGTTTTTCGCGGGAAGTGATAGGATAAATTGATGAGTGAAAAAATATTGAGGGCAAAAAAAAAAAAGAAAAGATTTGGGTTCTATAAAAGGGGTGTGTTCTACAAACATAAAATTCACAACAATTCATCATGGTCTCTCATCCACCCTTTTGTTCATGAGGATGTGGTCGGATGTATCATTTTATGGCTAAAACAAATAAAAATTATAGTAGGTATTTTTATCGGTGCCTAGAAGGACTAAAACACCCAGAGAGCTTTAAATGGGAAAACGAGAGTAATTACTCTTTTCTGCGAGGGAAACTGCTCAAACATATTGTAGTCCTTCGTCCAATTCACAAACTAGCCATCATACCACTTGTGAGTCCAACTACTCAAGCACATCACATGTGCCGACGAACAGTGCTAATGAGACACCGTCACTCCTTGAAGATGCATGCCCATTTTGTGTTTATGGTTATTTGGTGGTCATTAGGTTCTTAATTATTGTAGCACTTATAAAATTTATCATGATGTAATGATTTTCAAATTTTTATTACAGCAAAAATTTTTAATCTGTCGTGTATGTTTTTTTTATTACACACAATATTTATATCCGAGTACATGTTCAGTTCTATTCCACGTTAACCGAACGGATTAATGCATAATACATTTTTGCGATAAGTGACGTACACAACTACATACGTACATTTTTTTGTTTAAAAATTATTATGTATTAATGGAAAACCCGCTAATATGTATTAATTTAATTACATATAATCAATGTGATTATAAATTCATAATTTTACAACTTATTTTACTGCATATGATGATTGATGTGGAAAGAAGAAAAAACAAAAGGGTAAAAATTATAAAAAATTAACACAAAAAAACTCTCCTCCACGTGAATAGGCATGGTCAATGACATAGTGTTGTTCACCACTTTGTACGTACAGGTGTCAACATGCAAATGACATTTTTTTTCTATTTTCATTATCACAAAAAATTTGCGTATATATACATACATGGGTTTCCCTTATTTGTGAAAGCATCACCACAGCAAAACACGTCCGTATCATTTTTTTATTCTTTACAATTATGTGGGGATTATCATTGCCAGATACAAAGGAAGAACATTTTCGATATATACGAGAAGGCTTCTCAAACAAATGGCTTCAACCAGCTGAGGAATCATTTTGTACCATCCTTCTACATTACATCCAGTCAGAAGGGTTAAACATGGAGTTTGACGTATATATGGCATTTGATAGAATATACCGAACTTGCTTGGATGAAATTGGGCAAAATTTGACTTTTGAAAGAATGCTATACCACATTCATGGTATTGAAAGAAAGGTATCGAACTTTTAAATATTTTATGAAACATCCATTGGGTGTCGGCGCTTTTCAAGAAAATTTGATAGGAAAACGGGTCAACTCAAGGGTTAGGCATTGGTTGAAGCTTCCCCACCCGAACAAAGGTACCGTCGAAACGAAGACACATGATCGCTTTCGACATACATGCAAAGACCATTTATCTTGACGAGGACGATCGTGAGGAAGCATTTGAGGTATGCCAATAGTGTACAACAATTCCTTTACTTGTTTTGCCTATTTTATATTTATCAAGTTCTTATATAAATATCTTCTATTATTAGAATGTTTAAATCTCGTTGTAGACATATAAATTTTGAGCCAATAAAATGTCGACAAGTGTCAAATTCTATGT